GTAGTGTTTAGCATCGTGTAGATAAGCGTAGTTGGTGTAAATAGCCAACCGGACGATCAGAATCTCCCCGTCTTGGCGGCATATTCGGTAATATGTAAATTGGCGGCCTTCAAGCATCGGGTACGCCGCAAAAAATGCGGGCGCGGAAAGCCCCGGCGCGGTGCCACCATATAGCATCAGGGCATAGATTTCACGGTCGCCCCTCTTCCACTCTTCGATCACTACTCGTACGTAGTCTTCAAAAATCGAGTCCGATAGTTCCCTTACGCACAGCCGAATTCGAGGTACGCGAAGCTGCGTATATTGTGGCAACGGGGCGCTGAGGCTTAGTTTTAGCTCATCGGCCGATTCATTCATCCATCCCAGTAATTCCGGGTCGGCGGGGATTTTGCCGCTTATGGAACTCGTGACATACTTCCCGGGTGGCTTGTGACGCTTCAGAATTGAGAGCAAGTCGGTGTACTTGAACTCCAGTTCCAAGTCATCGCAACGGATGTCTATATCAACGGGAAGCTCGGCCATAAGGTGAAGATGGTGTACGGTCGAATTATGGAAAATTGTCTTGAAGTCTTCCATGTTTTTCTCGCTTGTAATAGGACCGAAGTAGATATCTGGTCCGTCTGCGAAAAGACCAGGGGAAACGGTTGCGCCACCATATGGGTAACTGCGGACCTCTACATGCCAGTATTTGTCTCGGCAATCCCTCGCCGTTTCCACCATTTTCTTACTTGTAATCGCTGTCTTGAAGAAGCTTTTCATGTCCATATGCCGAAGAATGTTGTGCTGGACTATTGTTGGCAACGCGGCGAAGTCGAAGCCGTTTGGCTGATCGATATCCATAGGATTGGAGCAATCTGGGCCAGGCCGGGAACGGCTGCGTTCCGGGGAGCAGTCAAGAACCGAGCCCGAATCCTCGACGACATAACCCAGGGTGAAGTCTGTGGAAACCGGAGCAGCCCGTAAAAACTGCGTGATTTTGCCAAGGGCGCATCTACAAAACGCTCACTGAATGTGAAATAGCTTCTTGACGTTTACCGAGGAACAGCCGGGGGTTGCGAAGTTTCATTGATGGCTGCTTCGACAAGTTGTAGGGCAGCAAAGATTTGATCATCAGCACACATCTCCACATTCTGGAACGGCGCCAGTTCCGCCGGCATCTCAGGGTTCATCAGCGCAAGTTTGATGTGTACCTACGCAGAAACTCAATGACCTATCCTGATACCCACCTTTTGCCGGTTCTTCCTGATATTCATCGATTCCAGAATTTCCTTGATTCCGATCAGCACAGGCAGCCCGGAAGAGAGCTGGCCATGTTCAACGGCCAAAATTGGTATCACCTGAACAGGTTATGTGCGCTGCTTACGCCGTTACCACTCACCATGCTAAATTTGTGCACAGGGCTAACTGAATGCATCACCGTGCGGTAACATTTCCTTAAGTCTGCGATGTAACGCGCATGGCTTCTTGGATGACATGTCGGCACATGGATATATATGATGCCTAAACGAGCATAAAAGACTTTACGCAACGCACCTTTTTTGGTTAGTTTGGACCCCTTGGTCAGAAGGAAATCTCCCGGCTTCCAAGGCTGCTTGACCCGACAGACGACAAAATTTCTTGAAGCCCTTTTCTTTCCTAGCCAGCAATTTCTTTCCACCGGCGGTTGTCAGGACCTCGTCCAGTCCTGCCCCTACAACAGAAATGAATGCCAAACGAGGGGTAATCCTACCGGCATTTAGGAATTTATCGGTCGCGATCACCACGTAGTCGGCGGGCAGTACAGTCGGGATATCGCATTTCAGGATCGAGAGCATGGTTGTAATCAGGAATGAGGAATGAGAATCTGGGTCTTTTATCGGCAACGAACAGATGGTTCCAGCAGGGAACTATTAGTGCCTCTCCTTGAGTGATAAATTGTGCTTCACATCGCTCTGTATTCTCCGTACTCTGGGCTTTCCATCGCTATATCGATCATCCCGATCCATCACTTCTCCATGGAGTTATTGCCGTATCATTCTTGGCTATTTTGGGCTTTTCCTCCAAATATTAACCCAATAACAGGACCAAGGTCAAATAATCTCCTAACAACACCCAACCCCATTTCTGCCACCCCGGTAACAAATTAGTGTGAACTGCGCCAAATTCAATATTTCTAGGCACCTCGCCTGGGCAGCGGTCCCCAAAAAAAAAACCAAAGAAAATTGTATCTTTTTAGCCAGAACTATGCTGCATTTTTTGAAAAGATATTCGGAATCAGCAAAAAATTCTGCACAAGATACACAAGAGACCTCAAGAGGTTCCCTTGAAATTGGATCAGAATCTGGAATATTGCGCGCATTTCCATGAAAATTCTTGAACTTAACGTTTACCCCCCCCCCCCCCCCCAAACCCCCCAAAAACACTTTACCCCCCCCCCCCCTTCCACAAAAAACTGCCAAAAAATTCTCGAAATTCGGCCTTCTTTACATTCCATTCCCAGGTAAAATCTCGTTCCTTGTAAAGTTGGAGTGCGTGAAGGTGATCGTCTGATTCTTGTAAAATACGTGTATGTTCAGCACGCGGCGATCTTCACGCTTTACGTAATAGTATGCGTTTTCCTCATCCTCGCCCAGTTTCTGGAAGGGCGCGGGGAACGCGCGTTGGCGAAAGCCGGCAAGGCCATTGTGGTATTTGGAATGGTATATCTGGACATGACGGATCTCACGTGTCCCCGCCAACCATTCCATCACCAGGATCTGCGCGTACTTTTCATAGCCCGGGTCGTCGGAAGCCTGAATGCTTGTCAAGCTCATCCTAGGCACCTTCAAGCGAATGTATTCTGGGATGGGCGCACTAATCATTGCAAACAGATCTGCGACGTTTCGGTTTAGCCATTCGAGCAATTCGATGCTTGGCGGTATCGCCAACACGGTAATCGCGTGATATTTTTGTCCGGCTGGTTTGTGACGTCTTAGATCAGCGAGCAAGCCATTGGCATTGTCGCCGTAGTCAGGACATCAAACACTCGCAGCGGATATCGAACTCTTTGAATAGTTTGGTGGTCTCTCGGTGTACCGTTAGATGTTTGACGGTAGCACCATGGAAAAGAAGTTCGATAGTGGTGGGGCTTTCGATTAGTAGCTCCTTGGGGCCAGCTTCGCCTACCGACCAATTTTCGACTTGCGGGTCCCCGTAAAGGCCGAGATGCCAATATTTGTCACGGCAAGTTTTGGCTATTTCCATCATCTTCTTGCTTGTAATAGCCGTCTTGAAGAAGCTGCGCATGTCCATGTGGCGGAGGATGTTGTGCTGGATGACCAAGGGGAACTCGCTGAAGATCTCCATACCTGGAATAAAAATATCAGCACATAGATACACGAGTGCATGAAGGCCAGAAAGAGAGAGAGAGAGAGAGAGAGAGAGAGGGGAGAGAGACGTGAGAGAGATGAAGGATCCTGGTTACAGTTAAAAGCTAACAATGGTAACGTGAATGTGTGCGTTCTGACGGGAGAAGTAATTGATCAATCGCAAAGGTCATCGGCAAACACCAATGTAGAACTTTCCAAACTGCACCTGCGTGCCCGCGGGGCTAATAGCTAACAGTCAATTTGGTCCGGTCCATGGATCCTGGGTCCGGTCCGTCCGGATCGGTCCGGGAAGATCCGGTCTATTCGGTCCGGTCCGGATCCAAAGAGGCAAGATTCAGATATGGAACATTTGTATCCTACCTATATATAAAAAATAGTGTTTGTGTGTGTGTGGTGTGTGGGTGTGACATTTTGACATCCAGCTCCGTGTGGCTGTCCGTCGATATCTCGATGGGGGATGAATCATTTTGAAGATATGTATGAGACGTCTTAGGTGCACAATTGTCTTGGTATGACTGCACACACATCGTTTTCCCCCTGAAAATTGGCCATTTTCGCTATAAAATTTAGGTTTTTGTAAAAACCCCTTGGTCCCCCCAGGGACTAATTAGCCTAGGCCGGAAGTGGGTGGTCGCCTATATAAAGAGGCAGAAAAGGTTCTTTTCATTTTTTTTTTTTGTTTTCGGCATGCAAATGGAAAACAGCATGTGGTCCGGACGGCCAGGGTTAAAAAGTCGCGAAGCGGCTTTTCAACCCCGGCGTGATGCAAAGCTTGTTCCAAGACTTGCTCTAATTGGCTTGCTCTTCCTCGTATCCCGACAATAATTTTTCCGATTTCCGTCATTACCCCAGTCAAGTTCCGATTGGCACTCAGTTTTGTGGGCTGTAGCCGAAAAATTGGCTGTAGGCTATAAATTTTTCTTTCCGTGAATAAGCCGATTTGAAGCTGATGCCAGCTGATTAGGCGAGCTATTCCTTTGGCACCTATTGACGAATTTTACCCAAGCAATCTTGAATTATTCGATGAATTTTCGAGTTTCGAGGGGTGCATGTTTAAAGGTAAGGTATAAATTTACAATCCTAATTTGAAAGATATTTATACCAAAATTTTACTTAAAATCCTTGTTAAGATGCGCAATTACAGTATGCCTCTTATGGTCTACTCCCTGTCCATTTCATCCTCCTCGTCATCTCCGATCTGGTGATGGGCATTGAATATTATCGTGGATTTTCTGATCACGGGTACGGTAAAAAGCTGTTTTTTTCTAAAGGGGTTGGCAAGACCATGGACACTTTTTGGCCATGGATACCTAGCGGTCTTTTCGGGTCGTGACACACAACGCCTACGCTCCTCGCCACCGTAGAGAGTCTTAATCCATTACACAATGGACAGAGTAGCGGATGCGTCGAGTGCCGTAGCATACTTCGGTATCCGCTTGCGTTCGGCAACGTGTCGAGCTACGTGTCGCGTCGAGTTGCGCCGTGCCGCGTTGCGTATCGCGGTTTTTGTCGCGCTCTAAAAAATCCAGAAAAATCCTAAGCCAATAGAATCCATAACAAACCCTTGCCCGTCCATTCAAAAAAAACCGATATTTCAGGAAAAATGGCTTCCAAAAATCGAAATTAAATGTTTCACTTCCGCTGTTAATCGCTATGTATTGGTAAGTCTTAGAAATTTGAAAACAAAACAAATATGAATTTTTAGCATGGTAATTTCTGGGGTTCTTCTGTACTGCACGGCCGCCGTTTTGACGTGGATAGGATTCCGGCGGAGGATTCGAGGGCTAGCCATGGCTTATATTATTTATTTGGTGCGTTTCTATAGTCCGTTTCAACATCATTTTCCAAGCACTGGAAACCTTAATTCTAAAAACTACGATAGTGGATTAACATTTAAACTTTTAAAGCTTTTTGCGGGGCGAATCCAAAGTCATTTCTAGTCAGAATTCCAATTTTGGCAGATTGTAGCAATGTGTAAATTAGTGCGGAAAAGCTTCATACCTTTAAAAAGTTATTTTCAGCAGGATTTTACTGTTGGTAATTTTTTCAGGTTTTTAGTTTCATTGAAATCGCGACAATCGATAAATACAAAATTATATGGTCGATAATTGATTTTTGCAGCTTGAATCTTAATTTTTCAGGGCATACAACTTTTGACGTGGTTTGATATGGCGATCACAGGATTGGAAGAAGATTTGAATTCCTTTTTCTGGCTTGGATTGGCCATGTTTCTTTTAACTGGTTTCACCTTTTTGATCTACATCTTCAGAGCAAAATACATTTTTGGTGAAATATTTCCCGACTATCGACCCGCATCTTTATTAGTATTTCCGGAGCCGAAAAAGACGCAGAAAAAAGAAATCTCCTCATTTAAGGTTTAATATTTTGCTATTTTGTTAAAATTGTCCGTATATTTTTCTGTTAAGGTGCACCTTTAAATTTGCATATTATTGTTTTTTTTGTGATATTTTACTTTATTTTAAGCATAAATATTTCAATACTAATTATCTAGTTGAGGTTTGAATGCCGCAAAAATCCCTGCTAGCCTGCCAGCCAGAATCTCCTCTATTTGAGCCCGGAAATGATCTCGTTTTCTTGGCATCCAGCCAACAATCACAAATCACCCGGCAAAGGTGGCTAAATTCACAGCCCATCAGCGCTTTTGCGATAAGGCCCTCTGGCGACCAAAGAGGCGTCAATATGCGCTTTTCTCGAATTCGACTTTTCCAGGTTTTGCAGCTAAAAATCAATATTCTCTCTGTGTTTTTAGATCCTATTTTGCGTGGCATCTTTCGTGAATTTTGCAACAGAAATTTATGGCTATATCGATTTGGACATCTATTTCTTGCAGCAAATACGGTATGGCAAACGTCAACGTGGTTTTATCTCGGTTTTAGAGCCCTAAATGGTACTGTCAAAATGCCCATCGGCCTATTCGTCGGTCTCAACATCTATTATTCCATTTCACTCCTCTTGTCACTGCTGGCGTTCGGGATTACGGTAGCGGGATTGCGGCTAAAAATTTCGATTCTATCAATTGCCTTCCCTAGCTATGTGGTGAGTTGGCGAGCTGGCAGAGAAATTTTAGGAAATTTGGAATTTACACGCAAAAAATGCAAAAATTAATTAGCAATTTCAAGCACTAAATTTTTTTAGAAAACTGCGAAAAATTTACGAAAATTTTAAACTTTAAACAATTAAAAAAGATTCTATGATTTCGACAACAATAAGCAGATTTAATAAGACTACAAAAAATACAATCAAAAATGCTAACGAGAAAGTAGAAATTATAAACCAATTAAAATTTCAATTCTTTAGGGTATAAACATCCGTTTCTACATGGACATCGTCCAGAGAGGCATCATTAATGACGATGCGGAATCGATCTGGCTGGGGATGTATATGCTGATATTAACGGGAGTCATTCTCGTATTATTTTGGAAGATTCACGAGCATACTTTTCGACCGCCACCCCCACCACCATGGGCATTGTTTAGAATGGGGAATATTCGAGGTAGCAGGGGGAGGAGTGGGAGGAGGAGAAGCTCTTTTTAAACCACGGGATAGCCAGCAGCGAACATTTAGGAATTTGCACTAAAGATCTCTGGTAGCTGGCCGGGTTTGAGAGCAACTTTCGCCAAATTAGCTTGTCTTTTCATGGAACGATTTAAGTTTTTTTAGCTGGCAGCGATCATATAAAAATCTCCTTTAATGTGAAATTTTCTGTCGTAATCGATTTTTTTCTATGCGTTGGCCTAGCTAGCAGGGGACCATTTTGGGTTTTCCGCCAAAGGACTCTGCCAGCTGATCCGTAACGTAACCGATTCCATCGAAATTTTATGAGAAGCCTGGTGAGCCTCCTGATCGGATTAATTTTCCCCAACACCTACTAATGGATCGATCCCTTTTGAGCCAATGCTTTCCGGCGCAGAAATTTTGATTTCTGAGCATTTATCGTTTGTGATCTCGTGTTCATGTAGTACAAATTTTGCATAAAACCGCTAACACAAAAATTTGCTCGGTTTTTAATGTTATTCGAATAGTTGTAACGCAGAAAATACCTTCGATAGTTCAGCAGACAGTTGCAGCACCCGTAATTTTTCAGTTTTACAAGGTAAAACAATCGTCATACTATCCTATAAGCGAGAAAAGTATGTGTGTTTTCTGTAATGAGGATTTCTCGGCCGGCAGGCCGAATTTTGCGTTGATTTTTGGCATGGAGGTGGAGAAACACATTTATCAGAAAATTTTTCATTTTTTTTGTTTGGCACACTTCCTTCATTGAAAGATTTTACGAGCAAAATAGTGAAAATCGGCTAGATGGTGTTCGGGGCATAACCCGAAGCCCTGATGGAATTTTGGGCTATAATTTGCACCACTTATGTATTCGATGGTGGGGATCAAGCGCATCGATTAATTTTACAAATTTTTGGCGCATTCAGACTAAAAGAGCTAATTTTGTAAAGTTACCAGAAGTACTCCTCCCGGCATGACCCCAACCCCCAGGGCAGAAGAGGCCTTTCCGCCATCCGTCCCCATGCCCCCTTTGGTATAGTGGCTTGGTGTTGCTTTTTGGTAGTTTAGCAACAAAATATATTTCTAGGCTCTCGATGGGCGAAGTTTAGGCCTTGGCCAAGGCTCTCGCGCCGCAGGCCAAATCCTGGAGAAAAACCAGTAACTAGCGCCGCAGGCTCAAAGTTTCTAGCACAACGCAGGATCTGGCGCCGCAGTCCAAGGAATGGTCATGACTCAGGGTCTTGCGCAGCAGGCAAAAAGAAGATATTCAAGTTCATGGTTGCTGGACGGGGTCCAGTGAAAAAGGGCCGCGAAGCGGTCTTTTTGCTCTGGTTAATGATCGGGTGACCCACAGAAGATGTTCTACACATGGTGGCTGGTAGGAAAACAACTTTTGTGATGCAAAAAGTTCTTTTTAGCGACTCTGCTACATCACAGCTGCCATTAACTTTTTATCGTGGTGTTGTGCTGCTTTTTGCTCGTCTACGAATATTTTACTATTTATAAAAGGTCCTTTTCAAATCACTACAATGAATTTTATGGCGTAATCGATTAACTGACGTGCATTTTAGCGCTTAACCCTGAAACAATTTGAAAAATCCTACTTTTCCGCTTTTTATGCCGTAATGTAATCTATCCAATTACGGCAGGAAATTTCACACTCTTTGGTGGAAATTCCATATCGTAATCGATTCTCTGGGCGGTCAGTATTCCGTTTTGTCTATCAACAAATTAAAAATTCCATAATTTGGCGAGAAATATGTCGCCATCGGTTCTATCCGATGACGCCAGAAAATTCAAGGCCTAAATCCGTTATTTTAGCCATTTTCGGTGGCTCCATTGGTGAGATCAGATGCGACGAAGCGCGATCACGTCACGTGTCCGATTTTTTTTGATGATGCGTGTTTCTAGCAGAATTTTCGCAACAAAAGGATTTATTCGCCATTCTCTCTACCCTCGCCCAAACGCAAACGCCTCGAACCGGCTGTCCTCAGACTTTCGGGACGCCTCGCGTGGGGTGCAGAGCGTCGCCGTTTGCGGGCCGAACGTGGTGAATTTCACAATGAGCAGCTCGCCGTCAGGTCGCTTGATGCGGTACCAGGTCTCGGATTCACGTTCCTTCGGGATTTCAAGTTTCGGGAACCGCGCATAAAACCCTCGGTCCAAGGGTGGGTGCGGGGCGCCGCGATCCCGATCGTAAATGGTGTCAATCATCTGAATTCGCCTCTCCCCTCGGAGCCACTCGTTTATCATGGTTTGCGTGAATTCTTCAGCTGCTTCGTCAAAGTGGGTGTCTGTAAAGAACCACAGCTTCGGCTGCTTCAAGGGGATATAAGCCGATTGCGGGCCCTCAATCCATAGGTCGCAACTGTTCGCGTTTTCATTGAGCCATGTTAGGATTTGGGGGCTCGGTGAAGAGAATATGTTCGTGGAGATGTACTCGTACCGTTCTATCGGCTTATGGCGCTTTAAAACTGAAAGCGGGTCGTCGGCATCGTACCATAGTGTCAACCGTTGGCTGCGGACATCGATATCTTCCGGAAATGGGGTTGCAAGCAGCATCTCCGAAACGGTAGCGTTATGGGCGATCACCTTCAGAATATCCATATTTTTCGTGTATTTATTTTTGTTTGGCTTGGGCATTTTGTTCCCTAGCCCATGAAAGGTGTAGTATCCGGTTCCTCGATCATCTTCCATAATCCCGATTCCCCATTTCTTGCCGCCGCAATCTTTGGCCAGCTCCAGCATTTCGTTGCATGTTGAAGCTGCTTTGAGGAAGTCGATGACATCCAGCTTTCGAAGGATATGTTCTTGTATGACGACAGGGTAAGCTAGGAACCTCATAGCCTGAAATTTTTGAAAATATTTGGGAAATTGGCGTGAAGAAGCGCGCCTGGAAAAAGAGAAAATGAGAAACTATAAATGCTTAAATAATAAAAGCCATAAAAAGCCATGCACTCAAATCGATGAAGCGCATGAATGGAGTGTGGTCAGGAAATTTATGCCATGCAAACGTCATTACGACATGCTTTCGCACAACCAAATCGCTCGAAAGACATCTGCCCGCCCGGAGGCAATGACTCAATCAATACACCGGATCAGAGGCCAAGAAATCTTGCTTCTTGGACATCGTAAAGGGATGAGGAAGGCTCAGTTGAATTAGCATAAGACCGGTATTAGTTCTAAAATTTTCATAATTTTTCTCTGCTCCCCTGTCTTGCCGCACACTGTGCCCATTTTTTTGCATTAGCATTTTTTGTACAATTTAACTGAAAATCCAAAAAAATCGCAAAAACCCAAAAAAACCTGCTATCGTATCCGTTTAAAAAACAGAATTAGGAACACTTTGAAACCTTGAAAATTAGTTCTGAATGATTTTTGGTGGGGAATCAACATCCGTTAGTGACATTAGTGACATGGAGCTAGTGCAACAGGGTGTCATTAGTGCAGATGCGGCGGCGATTCGGCTAGGAATGTATATGTTGATATTAACTGGGGTTATACTTGTATTATTTTGGAAAATTCATGAACATACTTTTCGACGACTATCCCCACCACCATGGGTATTGTTTAGAATGGGGGATATTCGAGGTAGCAGGGGAGGCGCGGGAGGAGGAGAAGCTCTTTTTAAACCGCGGGCTAGCTAGCAGCGAACTGTTAGGTATTTCCACTAACGATCTCTGCAATATCGCCTCATTTCATGACGTAACCGATTTATTGTATCTAACCGAGAATGGCGGGAAATTGCGACTCCATAGGGTGTCCCAATAAAAACCGTCCCTCTAACTCGATCGGATCGGAACGATAGTTGTTATTTAAACCGGACGTTTTATAACCAATTTAAAAAGATTAAGGAACGTCC